GGAGTCGATGTGATCGGGGTGCTCCTCCCTAGCTCTCTCATCGGAAAGCTCTCTCGCTCCATCGTCATTCGGAATCGTCGATCGGCACGGGAGCTTGAGGCTTCGGGGTCGTCTCGGGCTTGAGGAGCGGCTTTGGAAGAGGAATCGTCGTTTTGGTGGCACTTTTCTTGCCTTTTCCTTTGCCTTTAGAAGATGAAGCTTCACTCGTGCGGCTTCTTTTGTTGGACGAGAAAGTTGGGAGAGAGGTTGGAATAGATTCGGTGCGAATTGGTTGACAACCGAACTCAAAATTTGGTTGGAGCAAATTGTCGAACACCTTGTGGGCGTGCCTTGAAAGAGTAGATTTTGGAGAATTTTGTTTGATTCTCAAGCTTCCTTTTGTGTGTGAGAGTTCGAGAGAAGGAAAGAGGAGGGTTTAGGAAATAATGGGGGAGAAAATCGAATTTTTTTTAAGTTAAAACGCCCCAAAAATAGTCGGACGGCCGTCCCGGGTTTTGTGCTGATTTTCGGACGGCCGTCCGAGATTTTTTTCCTGTTACTGGTTGTGGGACGGCCGTCCCACATTTACACCTATTTTTGGGACGGCCGTCCCATGGACAGAGATGACGATTTGATCGTTCTGTTTCCCAGACGGCCGTCCGGGATTTTGCTTGCAATTTCGGACGGCCGTCTCGACCCCCTGACCATGTTTTCGACCCTGAAAATTAAAATTCAAATAAATTAATTAGATTGCATGCCTATGACAATAAAAAACGAAACGAAAAATTAAAGAAAACTACGAAAAACAATAAAACTCGGGTTGCCTCCCGAGAAGCGCTAAGTTTAAAGTCTTCAGCCGGACGTTGCTTCTTTAATTTCAAGCAAAAGTGACCGAGGTCACTTGGCATTCTTCACTCGCTCCCCAATACGATTTGAGCCGGCTCCGCTTCATGTTGAACGTACGATTTGAATCGCGCTCCTTTATTTTGACCACCTCGTGAGGAAGAATTTCTTGGACAATAAACGGCCGCGACCACTTTGATTTGCGCTTCCTTGGAAATAACCAAAGACGGGATTTGCACAATAACACCAATTGTCCTTTGTGCAATTCCTTTTTGATTTTCTCCTTACGACCACAATAGCTTGACTCATCCTTCTCTCTTGACTTGCTCGAGCCTTTGGTTGGCAACATCTTCCTTGCATTCTCATCGTCGTTAAGACCTCGACTCGCATGACTTTCTCTCGGAGGATTTAAAAGTGAGTCCATGAAATAAACTTGCTCCGTCCGATTCCCGTTTCCGCCATCATCTCCTGCACTCAAAGATGCTTTCCCATTGTCCAAGATCGAAACATCAAACTTTTCATTATTTGTAAAATCCATAAGCTCAATAGCAAAACAATCATTATTATCACATGGATTTTTATTAGCACTAAAAACATTGAATTTGATTGTTTGATCATGCACAGTCATTGTAAGATCACCACTAGCACAATCAATGAGAGTTTTCGACGTGGCTAAAAACGGTCTCCCTACGATAAGAGGTATCTCCCTATCCTCATCTATATCAAGTATAACGAAATCAACAGGGAAGATAAATTTATTGACTTTCACTAGCACATTCTCTAAAATACCTTTTGGGTAAACTAAAGATCTATCGGCTAATTGAAGAGTTATAGCCGTCGGTTCAATTTCTCCTAACCCAAGATTTTTAAAAGTAGAGTACGGCATAAGATTAATGCTAGCACCTAAATCAATGAGCGATCTAAAATTTTTACCTCCTATAGTACAAGGAATAGTAAACTTACCTGGATCGCCGAGTTTTTGTGGAAGAGGCCGAGTAAGAATTGCACTAATTTGCTCCGTGAGTTGGATCATCTCGTTCCCTTGCAATTTCTTACTTTTCTTCACGAGGTCCTTGAGGAACTTCACCCACTTTGGCATCTTTTGAAGTGCTTCAATGAAAGGAATATTTATGCGAATTTCCTTCAACTTGTCCAAAAATCTTTGATATTCGGCGTCGAGCTTCTTCTTTATAAACTTTTGAGGATAAGGAATTGGTGGGACTTGTGAAGGCACCGTCGATGGTGGCTCGTCATAAGATGATTCTTTTTCCTCATTATTTTTCGGCTTCTCGATTACCGTGTTTCTCTTCTCTTTTTGTGGGGCTTCCTTCAATTTCTTGCCGTTCCTCAAGGTGACTGCTTGGCACGTCTCGACCTCGATCTTTTTCGTTAGTAATCGTTGTGGATATGGGATTGGCTCGACCCATTCGGCTACAGTGGCTTGCGAATTGACTTGAATTTCTTCTTTTTTCTCGATCTTGAAATCGATAGCTTGGCACGTCTCGAACTTTTGCTTTCGAGGATCTTCCGTATTCGATGGCAATGCTCCTTGCGGACGGTTCTCTTGATTCAAAGCTAATTGAGCGACTTGATTCTCCAAATTTCGCAACGAGGCTTGGGTAGCGGTTATGAATTGGGCCAATATCTCCTCCGTGTTTGATTTTTGGGCCGGTGAATTGTTGCCTTGATAGCTTTGTTGAGGAGGGGCTTGATTTTGGAATTGGCCTTGAGGTCTTTGATATCCTTGGCCTTGTTGATTTCCTCCATATTGCCCTTGCGATCTCCACCCTTGATTTTGGAACTGGCGAGGCGCGTTGTTGACGTAGTTGAGCGACTCCACATCTTGTTGGCATTGGAGCGTGTAATGATTTCCACCGCAAATTTCACAACATGGAGAATCGATTGCTTGGACTTGTTGTGGTGGACTTGCTTTGATGTGCTGCAGAAGGAGTTGATTTTGTTGAGCAATTTGGGTCACTTGAGCTTGAAGGGCCGTAATTGCATCTAACTCCAACACTCCGGGAATTTTCTTAGCTCCACTAACCGTCCTTTCGCTTGACTTGGCAAACCGATTTTGTGCAATTTGATCCAACATGATAAATGCATCCGGTATCGATTGACTCATAAAATTACCTCTGGTTGAGGCATCTAAAACGGTTCGTGCATTCTCGTTGATCCCCTGGTAGAAGATGTGGATTTGCCGCCATTGTTCGACTCCATGTGTTGGACACTGCCGCAAAAGAGTTTTAAATCTCTCCCATGCCTCGTATAATTGCTCGCCTTGCTCTTGGAAAAAATTATGAATTTCTCGTCGGATTCTCTCGTCCTTCTCGGGTGAGCTGTAAACTTTCATGAAAAGGTTGAGGAGTTGAGACCACGACGAGATAGAGTGGGGGGCTTGGGACATCAACCACTGGCGAGCTCTTCCTTGTAAAGAGTGCTTGAAGAGAATTAATTGAAGCGCCTCTTGGGAAACGCCGTTTTGACGGTGGGAATTACAGGTATCTAGAAAATTGACAATGTGAAGATGGGGATCTTCACCCGCCAATCCACTAAATAGCCCGTTATTTTGGAGCATCGTCAAGAGGCCTTGCTTGATCTCAAAATTATGCGCCTCAATGGGTGGATATTGGATGCTCGGGCGGAATCCATCATGAGTCGGGATTATGTAGTCTTGAAGTGCCCGTGGCCTAGCTGCTGGCTGTAATGGGAGTTGAGCGGGTGGGTCTTGGATTTGGTTTCCGTTGGCATTGAGTAAATTACCCGCTGCCCCGCGTTCTTCGTCCTCCATTATATTGTTTTCGCGTTGAAGTCTCCTAGCCGCTCGAAAAGTACGTTCGATTTCGGGATCAAACGGTTCTCTAGCAAGATCGAGTTTTCTGCGCATACACAGTACCTAAAAAGAAAAATAAAATAAAACAAAAATTAAATGGGTGAATCGTGAAAATTGTTCAAATCTAGAGCTAGAATAAAATAAATAATTAAAATATTCCCCGGCAACGGCGCCAAAAACTTGTTGGTCGAAAACCTACACGCAAGTGCACGTATCGTACAAGTAATATAGTGGACAATTAAGTCCGGATATCGAACCCACAGGGAATATTTAATTATCTAATCCTAGACGCTAAATTCTACCAATTATTATCAAGCCCACCCTACACAGTCGACTTTAAAGAGAATTTACTAAATTAAAATAAATTAAAAGACAGGCAAAAACAAGTAAGCAATTTAAAACGAAGATTTAATCAAAGTAGACAAGCCTAGGATTTTATTCTTCCCCCTATGTGATTATTATTCCCCCAATTCCTTCAATTATACAAGCAATTAATCCGGATTATTAACCTGAGATGCTAATTTAATCATAACCCGCTTCCGCGTGTATTACGATTCTAATACTCTAGATTCAATTACTATATTCCTATGCAATTAATTCTAGAACACAGCATTAAGCACAAATCTCAATAATGGCTACCTAAGAGATTAACTATATTCCTATGTTAATACCACAAAGGCTCTTCTACCACAGTTCTAATTATTAACCCGATCTTCCGATTCATGCGATTAACAATAACATAAAAGCACATAAGTTGATCAAGTTCATGCACTTAATAAAACAAGTAGAAGAAATAATCCGGAATTAAAACTTGCATAAAATCATAGAAAAGGGTTCATAAATCCCACATAGGGTTCCAAATAAAATCCTAGAAATAAATAGTTTAGCTACTCATGATTAAAGGAAAAACGCAAATAAAATAAGTCATAAACGATAAATCTATGCTTAGATTCTTCGTCTTCGTTATTGCTTTGTTGCTCTCCAAATTGCATCAAAAGATCCCTAATTGTGTGCTTGGATTGGTCTTATATAGGGTGAAGAACTTAGGGAAGAAGGCAGTTTCCTTGTGCAATTAAAATCCCTTTACTGCGCAACTTCGGGGTATGGGACGGGGGTCCCATAATTTGCACTAAAACTGGGACGGGGGTCCGAGCCTTGTTTCTTCAGAATTTTGATATTTTCACTTTTGACCCATATTTTCGCCAAAATTGCAATTTTGACCCCATACTTTTCCAATTCTTCAATTTGTACCTAAAATACAATAAATCAACTTTTTAAGCACCAATTATCATTAAAACACACCAAAAGCCCAAATAAAAAGGTACGATAAAGTGTAAAAATATACACTTAACAAGCTCCTGGGCGATTTCCATACCTCGGATAACAGCCTCGTATTCTGCCTCATTATTGGAAACCCGCGGTAATTTAATAGCGAATTCGAGCTCCATTCCCGTGGGATCGATGATTATGACTCCTGCTCCTGCTCCTGACGCCGTAGAGGATCCATCTACATAGATTTTCCACTCGTTCTCGATATGTATTGTGGTAGTTTCTCGGATAAAGTCCACAAGTGCTTGTCCTTTGACCGAAGTACGGGGCTGATATTGAATCTTGTATTGTCCTAACTCAACAGCCCATTTGACAATTCGCCCGGACGCCGTTGGTTGGCCCAAGGTTTGACGAAGTGGCAAGCTCGTGCAAATTACAATAGTGTGTGATAAAAAGTAAGGCCGCAGCCGTCGCGTGGTAAGGACCAATGCGTAAGCAATTTTTTCGACTTCGGAGTATTTAGTTTCCGAGCTCGTTAGGATCCTGCTAATATAGTAAATCGGTAGCTGCCGGCTGTTTACCTCTTTAAACAGGACTAAGCTAACGGCTTCGTCGCCCACGGATAAATATACGAAAAGTGTTTCACTCCTTTCGAGGGTGCTGAGGACGGGTAAGCGAGACAGTGATACCTTTAACACCTCAACGAGCTGGCACACATTGGACCATTCGAACTGAGCTGTTTTTCTTAAGACTTTGAAGAAGGGTAAGCTTTTATCGGCCATTCGCGATATGAAACGAGCCAAGGCCACCATTTTTCCTGCTAAGGATTGTACCTCTTTAATGGACCGAGGTGGTGTCATCCGGAGTACAGCTTCTACTTTGTCTTGATTCACCTTGATGCCTTCTTGAGTAATTACATATCCAAGAAATTTTCCGGCCTTAACCCCAAATGCACATTTTTTGGGGTTAAGATTCATCCCATAAAGGCGAAGGGTGGCAAATGTTTCAGCCAAGTCGGCAAGGTGTGTCGAACGCTTCTTGCTTTTAACCAACATGTCGTCCACGTAGACTTCTATGTTATGCCCGAGCTGGGTCCGGAACATCTTATCCATCAACCTTTGGGACGTAGCCCCTGCATTCTTTAAGCCGAATGACATCACTACATAACAGTAGGTGCCGGTGGCTGTGATAAAACTGACTGCGGATTGATCTTTCTCGTCTAATGGGGTTTGATGGTATCCTTGTGAGGCATCCATCATGCTGAGTAGCTCGCACCCGGCCGTGGCGTCTACGAGCTGATCTATACGAGGTAGGGGGTAATCGTCCTTAGAGCATGCGTTGTTCAAGTCTCGGAAGTCAATGCACATCCGCCACTGCCCACTGGCTTTCTGGACCAGTACTGCATTAGATAACCACGTAGGGAACTGAATTTCCCGGATATGTCCGATGTCCAAAAGTCGCTGGACCTCTCGCTTAATGATTTCATCTTTTTCAGCCCCGAGGTGTCGTCGCTTTTGTTTTATGGGCTTACATTCGGGCTTCAGATTGAGTCTATGCACGGCGGTACGAGGTGCAATGCCAGTTAGGTCGCTTGATTGCCAAGCAAAAACATCCATATTAGATCTCAACAACGTTACCAGCTTATCTCGGAAGGACGGCTCCAAGTCCTTGCTTATCCGGGTCTGTTTAGATGTCCCAGGGACCAGATCGATTGTCATTAGCTCGTCCATCGGCTGTACGTGGATGACTTTGTCTTCGGGGTGGATTCAGGGGCGTTTCTCGTCTCCCAGATCCTCCTTAGCAAAAGTGCCGCGTCGTCCTTTTTCTGCCATTTTGATAACCTCGACATAACAAGATCTTGATTGGGCTTGGTCACCTTTGACTTCCCCTATTGCTCCATTCACAGGGAACTTGAGCTTTTGATGTATAGTAGAAGGGACCGCCCGGAAGATATGCATCATAGGTCGGCCTATCACGATGTTATACGAGGTGGGGGATCCTTTGACAATCACGAAGTTGACGGTCTGTGTCCGCGTGTGAGGCGGTGTCCCGATGGTGACCGGGATTTTAACCTGCCCAACCGGTGTTAGAGATCCTCCCGTGAATCCGAATATCAAGGTAGTAACCAGGAAAATTGGGAGGTCGAGCTCCATCTGTTGGAAACAATCATAGGAAATGACATCAACAGAACTTCCCGAGTCGACGAAAGCGCGAGCTACTTCATATCCGCCTACATTAATTGTGATGAGGAGAGGGTCGCAGTGAAAATCGTCAAGGTCTACGGCATCCTCTGGTCCAAACGGGATAGGGGGATATTTATGACATGCCGTTGCAGAGATCTGGCAGATCTGATGTTTATTTTTAATATCACCGAGGTGGCATCTTCGAGCTCGGTGGGTATCTCCCCCTGTTGGTCCTCCCGAGATCATTTGAATATAACCTCGCTTTGGCACTGGAGGTGGGGGTGGAACCCGAGCCGGATTTCCAAAATGTGCCTCTCGTTTTTGTCCTCGTGGGGGATCTATTTTTACAAAATCTCCGATTTTATTATCTCTGATAAGACGCTCCACCTCGTCTTTCAAATGTGAACATTTATCCGTTGTGTGGCCATACTCATTATGGAAACGACAAAAGGTACCCAAAGCAGGACTTCAGCGGAGTTCCTCTCAGGCGAACCGGGGCCAACGTAGGTCATTTCTGTTGTTCCCGATACATAAAACGGGTAGTGAATTTAGTAAATTGGTTGAACAAATTAATTAGTGAAAATACGAAAAGATTATCTGCAATGAACGTAAATTTGCCGAGGCGAGTTGACTCTGTCCTTAAGACGAAATTTCCCCGCAACGGTGCTAACGGATTAAATGGAAATCGTCTCCCAAGATACAACGGCAAGGCTTGGAATAGGAGCACTCCAAATCCCAAGTACGACGAACTGTACTTTGTGTAGAACTTTTCGAGAGAATCTGTGAAGGGTAGGCTTAATATGCAGTAGGCTTATTTTTTTGATTGAAGTGAGGAACTGTGGGAAAGTTAGGGTCTATTTATAAGGTTCGAAAAGTAATGTCCTTTGGAGCAAAAAGGTACATTTGTTTGAATGGTTGCACCATTTCAAAGGTACCTTTTGTTTGAATGGTTGCACCATTTCGAGTTGAGCCAATTGGGAGTGGTTGCACCATTTCGAGTTGAGCCGAATGGTTTGCATTGGTTCGGCCGCACCAATTCAGACCAGTCAGACCAATCGAGATGGGCTTCGAGTAATAAGGGCCCAATGGGTTAAAAGCCCATGACCTAATGTTTCTGATATATATACAGCTCAATATTTCTCTACTTTTCCAATGTGGGATAACTCAAAATCCCACTTTCCTTATATTCGGACTAGTAATTTTTCATTCACCACAAAATTGGTTCTAATCCAAAATTCATTTATATACTTAATTAGACCGTACAATAACATTGATAAAAAATTGTTCATGACTCAATTTTTAACCAATTTTCCCAACAATCCCCCACATGAATGAAAACGAGGGCGTCGATTCTCTCTAGAGTTCCCACGAATAGTATTGCATCGGGATAGGTAGCATATAGCTTTGAACCTTCCGTAGTGGAGTTACATCGGATTTACTAGGCTGAGTAGTGAACGCGATGTCTTGAACTGTCAGCCGTTCGTGTAAACCAAGACAATGCAACCCACACAATACTATTCTCACATTTCCTTAGTTCTCATGATTGTGTCTGTTTTGGCCATGGACACACATCTTGGATTCATAAGTGTTTGTCAAGTTTTTGAAGCGGCCCTCACTTCATACACTTACATAGGTGATCTCCTATTAAAAGTATCCTGTCAATACCTCACCTTTTGTTACAAGGTTTTGGAATCATTAAAAGCTTTCGCTTATCCTTTACCCTCTCTGCAGGTAGCACTATTATCTTTCGCGGGAATGAGTTAGGAATGAGTTCCTTAGTGCTCAACTGAACTTTCTTAGCTTAGTTGTCCCTTTTGAACCAGTTCTTGGGATCTCCAGTCAACATGGTTGGGTTACCACCAAGATTGTCCTTAATTTATGGGTTTTAATCCCATTCCCCTAGATAGGCAATATGTTTGATCTCTTTAGTTGACTTTTAGTCGCGGATCCGCTATTAACCATTGATTTTCATAATCAATATTATTTCTTTTGAGATCAATTGCCTAATGGTCTTATGTGTACGAGTGTATCGATACTTGCCATTATACATGTCGTTTGTGCCCTTAACGTAACCGATTGGTTATCACAATTTATTCATAATTGTGGACACCGACTAAGTCCAACACGGAACATCCTCCAATAATTTTATGAAATTTATTCAACTTCTTTTCTAACCTTATCTCAAGTTATACATTCGAATTCGTCCATGAATCGAGCTATTCAATTTTGTTTGAGGATTTCCAAGATACATAATCTTAGTGGACTCAAATATCCAATGTACTTTCCTAATACAATAAGATATTTTCTTTAATGTAATCCATTTAAAGGCGATACTTAGATTACCTAAGAACCCTTATAATATCATTGAATGATTATTTATTTTGGAATTACATATTTACTAGTTTGCAATTCATTATGCTGCCAAGCTATCCAAAAATATTTGTAATTGAACCATTGTTCATCATTATTTTTGGCAAGGTAAATACTTGGTTTTTTTTTTTTTTTTTTAAGACAACTAGATCAATTTTCTAGTAGTGTCTCAACATGAGACTTTCAGTAAGACTATCTTTGTTTTAGTGACTTTAATCTATAAGATTTCATCGTCTAAACCCTCGTCTTTCGACATCAAACATAATTTTATTTTTATTTTCAATATTTTCTCAACGTTCAAAATAATATCATGATCATTATCTCATGATTATAATGTCGTCTATGGACATACACTTCCATGTGCTTTTAATATAAACACACTGGTCACACTCGTTATTACGAGAACTATTTGATAACACAATTTTATCAAATATTACTTTAGAATCACTTAACGAGTTTCAATATCTTGTTATAATTAATCAAGATTTTCCATAGCTATTTAATTTAGCTTAATTGGACCACCATTTTAATTCTTCTTTTGAATAGTCCATCTAAACCTTAATGGTTTACTACTTGAAAGAAGACAATTGTCCATCGTTCATTTTATAACTCATAAGTTAATAAAATCAAATCAAAATCAAACGTATTGATTTTCTTTGCCATCTTGTTGTATCTTGATTGTTCATCACTTTGATGATTTACCACTCACACGTATATTAACTTGGTTGTTCATCACTTTGATGATTTACCACTCACGCATATATTAACTTGGTTGTTCATCACTTTAATGATTTACCACTTACACATTTATAAGTTCTTTTATTACTAAACTTATTTATTTTCTTATTTTACAAGAAAACACAATATAATCAATTTGCATCAAGAGTGACTATCTTGTGCACAATCATTATTTATCCACTTAATTATACTAGGCCTTACACCCCCACATTTCTAAATATTAATGTGATTACTGGTTAGGGCCTAAAGACCCCCACATTTTTTAAATATTAATGTGGTTAGCTCGGGGTATCTAATTTATGTGTTTAGGGCCTAAAGACCCCCACATTTCTAAATATTAATGTGGTTAGCTCGGAATATCTAATTTCCCCCCCAAATTCTAGAGTATGTATTCTAGAATTTATCATTATGATATCCATAAAAATTTTTTTTCAAGAGTTTCAATACTCATTTTTTAATTCATTTGTCAAAGTTGCATTTTCCAACTTTCATTCAGATAGCATTTAAGTGCTTTGAAATCCTTATTTTTATTTATCAATAAGGATACACAATGTAACAAAATACATTTCTTCTTTAGTTAGAGAAATATATTGGATCACCAATATGATTTAAATTACAAAGGAAATTGTATTTCAAGAAATCACAAAAAGAGAAATCTTCTCAAGATACTTAAATCTTGTCAACAAATGAGATAGTAAGATTTCTTCCTTTTCCTCAAAAGAGAAAATTCGTCAAGATACTTAAATCTTGTCAATAAACAAGAGAATATTAATCTCTTCAAATGGCGGTTGATCTCCACTATTCAACATTAAAGTTAGAATATATAAATTCTAATCTTAATCATTCATAATTTAGGATTGCATGTCCTAAACATGTTGTTCAAAATTCAGTCAAATCCAACGATTTAATTCTACAAAACGAGCTCTTAAGTAAACTGCTCGAATTTTATTTCAACAAAACATCCATTGTTGTTAACAACTATTTCGGATCTTTGAAAAATCAAAATCCGATCTCATCCATTCACATTGTAGATCATGATTTTGCAAATGTGATATCAAATCGAACCCAACGACTCGATCTTCTTTTATGTTCTTGAAACAAGAACTACTCATGTGCTCTCATGAATTGAGCTTCTCTTTCTTTCTATTTTATTTAAAATCATGCTTTTAATTAAACAATAGTATGATTCATATATAAAACATATGTACATTAATATTATAATAAACATAATATTTGACATGTGAGCACGACGTTCATACTAGTTGATTATAGAAAGAAGCAATAGATCAAGCATACTTTATCAACATATACATAGTATACACACGAATACATAATAACATCAAGTTTATATTCCATGGCATCAATTAATTCATGTCCAACATAATAAATTGATATAAATTCTATCGCACGTAATCAATGCATGTCCATGCAATAGCACAATTCTAAGGAATTAGTATGGCTTACACAAATAATAATATGTATAGTAATATTCCTCTTTACTAAGTAACTCATACTTAATATACGAGACAAGTCTAATCGTTCATAGACAATAACAAAAAACGTTAATAAGATCACGTACTCTCAAATTTCATATAACATATTCGAAAATTAATCAATTGGACGGTTCCGCATCAAATGAAAATTGGGGGAAAGTTAATCCCGTATCAAAACTATATGCAATTTATGAAAATAAATATTGCATTTTCATGAGAAACGTTATGCGGTTTATGATAACTTATTCAAATAATTAACACATACCATATCACTTTATTGCATTTAGGATAAAAATATTTCTATCATTAATGTAGATACACAAACATAATGAATATTCATTAAGCAAATATATTGTATATAGTTTATTGTATATAGTTTACCATTCTTCCACATATTAAAATTAAACTATCATGCAATAATCCATCATTATATCATATAGCATTATCAATTTATTGCACAAATAGATATTAAAAAATGTACCCGATAAATTATATGTTCGTCAATTCAAACTTTGTGGGTAGCACTAAATCGTGTCAATATTATGGCATTGCTGAATGATTTATTCATATCTCTTCCGTCTGAAGTCCGATTATGTTGATTCAATATGATCCGAATAGCCAACAAAATTATCTACAACTTTTATGTTTTACGTTTTCTGAGATTCGGATTAGATCATGATCAAAATAAGCCTCGAAGTCGGAATAGGTGTGCTGTAAAAATGCACCTACAATGGAACCACAAAAAAAAATATTAAATAATATTCATGGATCGAAAATAATATAAAACCTGATCATTATTCTTCGACTCAGTCTTCTTTCAACAAAATTTCGTGCATTGGACATTTGTGAGGCATTTAATATGCGACAAGTCGCATTGGTCACGAACGGTTGTATATGAAAAGGTGCATCGGCAGTTCTGCCACCTTTTCGTATTTTCGTCATAACTTCTTCGTACGAGCTCCGATTGTGATGATTTAACATGTTCTGGAAAGCTAACTTGATTATCTACAACTTTTGTGAAATGTTAATTTGCCAAATTCGGACTTTAACACCTTCGAAATGGGGCAGGACTGTGGACTTCATGTTCTGTCCGAAAATGAACTTTCTCCAATTGTATTTTGTAACTTCTTGATTTTTGACAGACTATCTTCTTCTCCATCCCGTTTACCAACGTGTGCAGAAAACAAAATTTACTAAATCACAAAATTTTCGTCTTAAGATTGTTGTTCCCGATACATAAAACGGGTAGTGAATTTAGTAAATTGGTTGAACAAATTAATTAGTGAAAATACGAAAAGATTATCTGCAATGAACGTAAATTTGCCGAGGCGAGTTGACTCTGTCCTTAAGACGAAATTTCCCCGCAACGGTGCTAACGGATTAAATGGAAATCGTCTCCCAAGATACAACGGCAAGGCTTGGAATAGGAGCACTCCAAATCCCAAGTACGACGAACTGTACTTTGTGTAGAACTTTTCGAGAGAATCTGTGAAGGGTAGGCTTAATATGCAGTAGGCTTATTTTTTTGATTGAAGTGAGGAATTGTGGGAAAGTTAGGGTCTATTTATAAGGTTCGAAAAGTAGTGTCCTTTGGAGCAAAAAGGTATATTTGTTTGAATGGTTGCACCATTTCAAAGGTACCTTTTGTTTGAATGGTTGCACCATTTCGAGTTGAGCCAATTGGGAGTGGTTGCACCATTTCGAGTTGAGCCGAATGGTTTGCATTGGTTCGGCCGCACCAATTCAGACCAGTCAGACCAATCGAGATGGGCTTCGAGTAATAAGGGCCCAATGGGTTAAAAGCCCATGACCTAATGTTTCTGATATATATACAGCTCAATACTTCTCTACTTTTCCAATGTGGGATAACTCAAAATCCCACTTTCCTTATATTCGGACTAGTAATTTTTCATTCACCACAAAATTGGTTCTAATCCAAAATTCATTTATATACTTAATTAGACCGTACAATAACATTGATAAAAAATTGTTCATGACTCAATTTATAACCAATTTTCCCAACAATTTCTCTTCTCAATCGCGCACAAGACATTAGATAAGGGGGCTATGAGGGACTGGTATGACTGATATCGAGGGCCCTTCATGTCTGGGGCACCATTTCGGCCGGATGTCGTATCTCTTCGCGCCAAAATGGGTTCCTTACCTTTCCTCATCTCGTTTGACCTTAAACTTATGGCCTGATGAGATTCTTCTGTCTTTTGTTGTCGAGCCTCCTCTAGGTTGATGAACCTAGACCCCCTTCCTAGCAAGTTGTCGAAATCAGGTGACGGTTCCAATGCCAAGGCTCGAAAAAATTCATCGTCCCTCAATCCTTGCGATAGGGCGGCCATTAGTACTTCGTCACTAGTGGTGGGAACCTCTAGAGTTGCCAAGGTGAAACGCTTAATATAGTTTCGGAGACTCTCCTTCTCCCTTTGCCGAATGCTGAATAACGACAGCGAGGTTTTCTTGCATTTTTTCGAGCTGGCGAACTGGTTCATGAAGGCTTTGGTAAACTGCCCAAAGGAGTGTATGCTTCTCTGCGGCAATAGGCCGAACCAGGCCAGAGCCGGCCCAGCCAGAGTAGTGACAAAAGCTCGGCACTTCACCCCCTCAGTGAGCTGGTGGAGAGAGGTCGTATTGTTAAATCGGCTCAAATGCTCAGCAGGATCTGATGTACCATTATATTCGAACAAAATGGGTCGATAGTTCGGTGGTATGGGATCATCGTCGATGTGCTTAGCGAACGGGCTAGTTCCCTTGGAGGTTCGTTTTAGGCCGCTTCGTAAGGCCTTCAATTCGTTGATATCTCGCCTCAAGCTATCGACCTCGGTTCGGACATCCTGACTGCCACCTTCTTTACTTTCTGAATAACTGTTGCACTCGTTTTCGGCTCGCTCCTCATTTGCGGGACGTCTGAGATCTCGTTTGGGTCTGTTCTCTTGGGGTGAAGACTGGGCATAGTTTCTGATGGCCGCGGTGATCATCGCTTCTACCTCACTCTTGGTAGTCACGCGTTCGTTAGTGGGAAGCGGAACAGGGATAGGAGACGTGAACGACTTCTTAGGAGCGGGCTCGCCATGCCGAAATTCAAAGGAGTGACTGTCAGAGAGGGGGAAAGTCTGGCCCTCTTTTGTGGGTGTAATTGTGCTGCCACCCGATTTATCCTTCCGAACAGGTGATGATTCAGTGATGGGTGCCTCGCGAGCTGCTGCGTCCAATTCTTTTTGTAAGTTCAGGATAATGGTGTCTCCTTGTTCCATTTTCTCTACGTCTATGGCTCAGATCTGGACTTCCGGGGGTTGATATGGTGTTTTTCCCGGAAGTTGTGTACCCAAGAATTCAGGCCTTCCCACATACGGCGCCACTTGATTTGGTCCGTGAGACCTCCCTCTTCTTCAAGGCACGAAAGAGTCTTCCGACGAGAGCACCTGCAACGCCGGGAGGTGATCTCGGCGGGAAAGCTCCGACGGTCAAGTTAGTTATGTGTTTTTTAAGATATTATTACTGTAATATTGCGTAGAAGAGCATAAGTGAAAAAATGTTTGTTTCTTGGGGGATCCCCTCTATTTATAGATGTTCCTTTCTTGGCCTCCAAGGTTTCCTTTTTTAGGGTTTCTCTTTTCTCAAGTTATGTTTCTCGGGCCTTTATAATTTGGGTCTGCTTAAGGTTTATGTATTTTTTCTTCCTCCGATATCGTACTTCGGTTTTTCTCAACATCTGTTGCGAGCCACGGTATTCCGAAGTCTTAGATCGCTGTCCTGGGTCATAACTCGGTATCCTTTCTCGTTGTAGTAAATCGACTCTTCTTAGTTCGTACTTATTTACTTTAGTCAGAATGGCCCGTATCAAAGTTGAAGATCATATTAGATTTGGTTCTTTTTTTTTTTCCTTTTTCGATTATTATATAAATTCAAAATTCAAATTCAAAACTTATTTGCAATTAAATTATTATTTTTTCTGAAATTATATACTGTTTAACTTTTTTGCCACAATTGTTGATGATTATTCCAAATATATATATATATATATATATATATATATATATATATACTTTCAATATTTACTTTTCACGTTCTCGTTTCATTAATATTAGTACAAAGTTGAACATAACAAATTCGTTCTACATTGGAAGTATAGAACCCTTGTTACAAAATGTTTTTTTTTTGTTCTTGATAAAACGACATTGAAAAAACAGAGCAAGTGATAATTTAGAAATTAAATAAATGCCACGTGTCAAAATGAGAATAACCCCGAAGAAAATCCATTTTCTTTTTTGGGGTTTGGAGATGCGTGGATTTTCAAGAACGATAATCTTATCATATTATGATATGTTCGGAATTTTGCAGCATACATACATACTTACATACATACATACATACATACATACATACATACATACATACATACTTACATACATACATACATACATACATACATACATACATACATACATATTGTCGTAGATGTACGTAAATTGTGTATAAATATTAGCATGTTTACAGTTACATAAATTACCCGATGAACGTCACCGATATATCATATAGAACAAACCCTATATCTGAACAATTCGTTCTTACACATACACAAAAGTCGAACTTCAAAATTCGAGACGAACGAACAACTTTCACTCGTCTTCAAATATTTTGTACACAAATTCTCATGCAATTAACCACCCTCCTTCACGGCCATTTACTGCCCTATCGTCAACAAGAAAAATAAAGAAAATTTAAATATCTTATCTTCTCGAAAAACGGTTGCACCTCGTATATGACATCATTATTTGATCGAACAATTCAAGAAACGAACTTCTTGAATCTTTTATTTATATATTTCCTTTTTGCAGACTGATTTTAATTAGTTTGAAATTTGAGTTATTTTAAACTTGCCTGCTACTGCTGCTGAAAAGAACGAGATAAACGGGATCTTGAGATGCGAGATGGAAAAATTGTACGACGATGTAGGCACACACGCTCACACTGAAAAAAAAAAAAAAAAAAAAAAGACAGCAGCTTGTGTTATAATCTGAGGATGTCTGAAAAACGGATGCGAAATAGCAGAAAAATATAACGGGACAAAAAATCGAATAATTAAGTACCTTCCGAAGCAGATGAACAAAACGATCCAAAGTGCTGCGGTTTTATAATTAGATTCTTTATATACCACCCAAACCTGATTGGACACGCAAATATTTAACAGCCTTCGTCAAATTTCTCGATCGGACACTGAATCATGCAAAAGATTGCACGCATGCACAGATGCATTTCATATATATGCTAAGTGATATTATAAAACGAAACTGAATTCGAAGAATTCTGCATTGAGAATTACCGATAAAGCAATAATGTTAACGTAGAAATCGACGAGTGTAGCTATCATCCACCTGTAGAATTAAATGGTAACTTCTTAATTAGAGAAACTGAATAAATAAAAGAGACTCCGAAGCTAATACAAAGCCTTCATACAGTTAAACCTCTATAAGTTAATATAATCGGGACCAGGGAAACTCTGTTAATTTAGCGAATTATTAAATTATCGAGTTAATAATTTAACATGTTTTCACCGAGTCGGGACCGGGAGAAACTATTATTTAATCGAGATTATTAATTTATCGAGGTTCTACTGTACTAGGCTTGATCGACAATATAATAAAGCTTTGTCAAATGTTTCGGGTTTAGGTTTCAAGTTCATGATTAAAAGTGGGCCCAAAATTTAATCAATCATAAGAATACTATTACATTATATTAATATTATATTATCACGGGCGATGTAATTCTTAACAATTGAATCAACCTTATCAATCCCATCAACTTTAGCTAACGAGAAATTCAATTTTCTATATATGCACAGAAAAAAGAACTTACGGAGTCAAAAGCTCTCGACGAAACGGAGATCCATCAGTGGCAATAGTGTAAATCAACGTGCCCAGCATAACACAACCCAATAAACTGAAAATAACCCTTGCAACTACAACAGATATTATACTCTTCGATTCTGTCCCATCCCTAAGAGTTAAAATAAAATCAGTAAAAACTCATGACAATGAACCGATATGTCGAAAAAAGACGAAGAATATATATTCATTAGTAACTAAAGTTTGCACGAATAAATTCATGGATAAACTGCGGCCACCCCCTGAGGTAAGGTCAAATTACGAAAAAAAGCCCTCTTGTTTGGGTAATTACAACCACTTCTCAACTATAAATCTTCTTACACACCCACCTTTGGTGTCAAATTTAGTGGAATCTTCTTGATTATGTGGAATATTCTCCAGTTTGTAACTGAGTAGGGTCTATTTTATTCATTGTATAAAAAGATTCAGTTATCGCATTACGAACAAAATATACAAAAATATAGTAGTTGCTTACTTTTTCGTGTTTTTCAGTAAAACAAAGTAAATAGGATCTTGTAGTGATTCTTGTGGAGAAAGCTTTAGGAACTGCATAACAATGTATCCGCATGCAGTAACGCTGCAAACAAGAAAACAAAAAAAAAAATTACACATATAATTAACGAAACAAAACGAAAAAAGTTAACGATAAATCAAATGATAAATCTACTTAAGAAACTTTCGACTGTAATTACTGCAATAAATGTTTCGTTCTTTCGTATGAGCTTCAGGGAGCAGCCTAACGATTGTTTCAACAATGCAAAAATCTGAACATAATTTTGACAATCGAGAGACGTTTTCGAGAAACTCGTAAAATTTGAAAAGAATTATAAGATGAAACATACCTTCCAAAACATATAAGCAAAACTATCCAAATCAACGAACGAATCCAGTTTGATTCTTTGTACACAATCCACGCCTGTTACACACCATGTGTTCATCAGGTGATAAATCAACATATATACATATACATATATTTATTTATGCAATTATGATGTCATAATAATCGAACAGTACAGCCAATTATGAGAAGAAAAAAGAAATTGCATACCGCTATTGCTAGGATAATGATATAGAAATCAATCAGAGTTGCTACCATCCACCTGCATCGGAAAAATTATCAATCAATTTTTTTTTTTTTTTTTTTTTTGCCGAATTCGAAATAGTATAGCAAAATAGAAAACATTAGATGACTCGGATTTTTTTGGAACAAGTAAGCCAATACTATATTAGCTAGCTATATTTCATCTTTCCAATAGAACAAATTATGCAGTTAGGTGTATGTTGAAATTATGATTGTACAGAAATCATAGATAAGTGCAGTAGATGCTAGGAGTGTTCATTCGGTAAAACCGTACCGAACCGGTACTGCTTTTTACTGAATTAATTTGGTTTTTAGTAAAATCGAAAATATACTTTCTTATTTAAAAAATATAAAAAAAATATTTAAAGAAACTAATTCTTGAATTTGACATTCAAATTGTCGAATTTCAATAATCGTCCCTAAAAGAAAAAGTGATTATCAATAGGCTAATTTGTAAATATGGAAAAAATTATCAATCTATAAGTATTTTATAATTTATTATAACCTTATTTAAAATAAAGGGTAAATTACAAACACCCCTGAGGTATGTATGGTCAATTTACAAAAAAAAACCCTCTTGTTTGGATAATTACATCTACCCCTCAAATATGATTTTTTTCTTACACCACCACCCTTATGGTGTCAAATTCCACATAAGCATCTAGATTTCATGGAATGTAGTTTGTACTCGTTTTGTGTAAAAATACAGTTTCTGATGCACCACAATCTTATATATACAAGCCCAAAAACACATATTATGATCATCTTGCTTCAAAATGTAGACTTCGAATGGGATAAAACGGGTACAAAAGTGATAATATTCCTTATAATCTCAAAGATTCCACTAAATTTGAGGAGTTGAGGGGGTGGTTGCAATTATCCAAACAAGAAGGGGTTTTTGTAATTTGACCATACCTAAGGGGTAGTTGTAATTTACCCTAAAATAAAAGAATAAATAAATAAATATCTATTAAATATTTCGGTATTTGGAACAGTACGGTATACCGGGCATCAATTCCGAATCCTGTAAGAATACCGGAAATTTAAAAAAGAAAATTACCGAATACCGAACCAAATTTCCGGTTCGGTACGGTTGGGTTGTTTTACCGACCAAGTGAACACTCCTAGTGGATGCTATCACAAAAAAATCTACAATCAAATATTGGTCAAAGAAATAAATAAATCAATAATATAAGACAATTTAGCAATCCCACAAAATACTTATTTTTTTTTTATATTTTTGTAAATTTATACACGTAAATAAATAGAATAATAGAGTGAAAATGATGATCACCAACCCAACTTTCCAGCTAAAAAATAAAAGAATTTAATGGCAGTTCTAAAATTGTAAATAAAATCATTCCGTGAAGCAAAAATTGCATATGATAACTGATCAAACACCCACAAGGCCACAACACCATTATTTAAATATAAATAAATAAATAAACAAATAAAGAGAGAGAGAGAGAGAGAGAGAGAGAGAGAGAGAGAGAGAGAGAGAGAGAGAGAGAGAGAGAGAGAGAGAGAGAGAGAGAGAGAGAGAGAGAGAGAGAGAGAGAGAGAGTAAGTACGGGGTGAGGAGTTCTTTGCGGAAAGGGGATCCATCAGTGGCAACGGTGTAAATAACAGTGGCGGCAGTGACACATCCCAACACCATGAACGCACTCCTCAGCCCAATTGCAAGTGAAACCGCCATTGATGAGAGCTTTTTGAAGCTCTGAATTGTGTGTGGTTTTCTTTTATGGAAATAAAATTGTTGAAAAATATAAATGTAGAGAGAGAGAGAGAGAGAGAGAAGAGAGGGAATTTTGAGTATTGCGGTTTCAGCTGTAGACCGGATATGGGATGGCCATGAATCCACGTCATCACCATTTGACCACTTTTTTAGTCCATTTATTTATTAATTAATCTGAAATGTTAATTGTAGCGGAACTTTTACTGAAATTGGCTTATTTGCAGCGGTAGTCTCATTTGTCAGTTTTCTAACTTTCTAAAAAAACCGAAACTCTCTCAACTAAAAAAAGTCGAAAACTTAGAATTTGGAGCTCGTTCGACAAATTCAAAAACGAACAACGACTTCTTCGATGGCTGATCCGGATAACTTTTATAAGGTAAAAAGAAAGAAGAAAAAATAAAACTTGGTGTAATCGTGCTATACATCACGAGAAGTATCAAAAAAAAAAGAAAAAAATTGGAGTTACCCGTGTTGTACAGCACGGGAACTTGGGTATTAATTTTCAATATTTTTTTTTTTTACTTTATTCCTTAGTATTATTAATTTTCATAATTAGGTAAGGGTGATGATGGTGATTTTGACGAAAAAATTGACGATGAATGTACAAACGAGTACAATAATCCGAATATGTGTTATCATGTTCCTCAAATAATTACAAAATTCGATATTTAGAAAAAAAATATTAAAAATATATATATTAAAACTTTAAGTTCTCGTTCTATAGAACACGGGAACTTGAATAATCTTCAAGTTCCCGTGTTCTGCAGAACGGGAACTTCATGTTTTTTGAGTCATCCGTTCTGCAGAGAACGAGAACATGAAGATTATTCAAGTTCCCGTGTTCTACAGCACGGGTGATTCATATTTAAATTTTTTTTTTCCGAAATTAAAAATTCAAAAAACAGTTTGAAGGTCCCGTTTTCTGGAGCACGAAATTTTGAATCTCCCGTTTTCTGGAGCACGAAAACTCAAAGAATATTCAAGTTCTCGTGCTCTGCAGAACGGAGGATTCAAGCCGTTTGAATCTCCCGTTCTGCAGAGCACGGAAACTTGAATTTTCTTCGAGTTTCCGTGCTCCAGAAAACGGGAGATTCAAAAAAAAAAATCGCAATTTTGCTAGATCTAATCCTAAACATGTGTTTTTACCTAAATTGGAAATAAAACTAATTAAAAGTAGTAGGATATTGAAAATTTACTGGAATCGAGCCTCGTTTGCTACGGTTTGAATGTCGAAAAAATTTACGAAATTCGAATTTCTAGAGAGTGTTTGGGAATAGGAGAGAGAAATTGAAAAACAAAAAAAATTAAATGAAAAAGGTACCGCTGCAAATAAGTCAATTTCAGTAAAAGTCCCGCTGCAAATAGTAACACCCTTAATTAATTAATCCAATTTTAAACTATTTGTATTAAGGTGGTATTTGCAAATGATTATTTAAAAGTAGAAGTTAGTGATTGTGAGTTAAGTCAGTTTTAAGTGCTTATTTCTAAAAGTTGGTGGTGTTTGCAATTATTCCGGAAAATGAACTTGAATAGAAAAAGCAGAGTTTTGGGTGGGTGCTTTTAAAAAAATAGTTTAAAACATATTATTTTAAGAGAAGTAAAAACAAAAGTTGATTTTGCAAACACCTATAAACAGATTATGAACACAAAAAAGCTCACAATCACTTTCAAAAAGCTTTTGCAAACACCACCTAAGAGACACATAATTCAAAAGGGTAAACAGCACAAAACCCCCTGTGTTCAGAAAAACTTGAGTCAAATCCCTTTATTTTTTTCTCGTAAATCCCCCTTGTGTTTCATTTTACTTTGCACGGAACTCCCTTTATCGTTAAAAAATAACGACGTTAACTATAGAGGGGGTTTTATGCATTTTTTTTCATAACAGAGGGGGATTTAATGCATATTTTCTACGATACAAGGGGATTGTATGCAAAATTAGTTTATTCGTTTAAATTTCATATATTTTCTTAAATTAATTTGAACAACATCTATTCAGTTTCAATATGAAATTTAATATGGTGAATATTTTTTTTTTTAAATGATTTTTTAAAATATATAATTATTTTATCAGAATCATTATATATTTTTATAATATATTATGAATTAATTATATGTGAAAAGAATATAAATAATTTGAGAATTAGTTCCAACTTTTATCTCAAATATTAGTTTTTAGTTTTTATATTTTAAATTAATAGATGTATTACTTAATGTAAGGAAATAATTTGAACTTTAAATGAATAAATTAATTTTGCATAGACCCCCTCTGTTGCACAACTATACACCAAACCCCTCCAATGTTACAAAAAAACTTGCATAAAATCACCAAACCGTTAATAGTTAATGGTGTTAACTATTAACGGAAATGAGAGATTTCAGGGTTTTTGGCACTTTGCACCCTTAAATTACACCATTTTGGCACTTTGCACCCTCAAATTGCAAAATTGGCAGATTGCACCCTCTAAATATAAATTGTTTGGCACTTTGCACCCCAAATCACTTTTCGCTTAGAAAAATTACCTGCAACTTGTTGAAAACCTGGAAGATTGGCAAATTTGTAATTCTCTAATTATCTATCCTCTTCCCCCAATTCTTAATCATCGTTCCACTATTTTTATCTTTCGTCCTATTAATCAAAAAATCATAAGTTCTTCTTAGCCAATTTTGCAAACTGCCAATTTTGCAATTTTGCAAAGTGCCAAAATGGTGTAATTTAAAGATACAAAGTACCAAAACCTCGAGATTTCATGCAAGAAAAAATAAAACACAAAGAAATTTTACGCAATAAAAAGAACACGGAGAATTTAGTGCAGATTTATCATAACAGGGAGGTTTTAGGTTGTTTACCCTAATTCAAAATTTATATTACTACTAAGCCAGATGTCACTAAAATCTCCACTTTAATCCCTTCGGAAAAACTTGATAAAAACAATTCCACGTTTACGAATTAATTTTTAAAAAGTCTTTATTTTTGCCTATCCACGCACAACGTAATTTTTTTTATTGGATGATTTATTTGTTTAGTAAATCAATTAAACATAGCCTTTTCTTTTAACCACCCAAAATTACTCCTTGCGGTGATTGATATCAAGACAGAAGCTTAAAAAACGGCTATATGCAAGATTAAATTAAAGAAAGATTTTATTTTAGGATTAATCACAAAAAGGGCTAATGACAAGGATACTTAATTAAAAGAGGGATAACCAACTTTTTTATCTTTCAAATAAATCCAGCTTATTTAAACTTATTTGCAAATAAGGAAAATCTTTTTATATATACCAAAATTACCCTCAATTCATTGAAACCCAATTCAACTTCAATTTCATGATTTACACCCCAATTTAGCCCAATTTCATCAATTAACCAATTTTAACCATAATTTCAATTTTGACCCCAATTTTGACCCGCCACCACCGGAGACCGCCGGTCTCCGGCGTTGACTTTTTTTTTTTTTTTTGTGAAAAACTTTTTTTCCCCTCAAAAAAATTTTCCGGCCGGTCAACTGCCGTTGACTGCCAGGTGTCCGGCGTTGACTTTTTTTTTTTTTTTTAATAATTTTTTTTTGGCGGCGGATATATGCAAACCCATTTTTTTATTAGTTCAAACCAACATGAAGGAGTTTATTAGTTGAAGCCCGTAAATTAATTTTATTTTATTACATCAAGACCAAACAGGACGAATATACCCTTATCAATAAATAATAACCAAATACAAACAAACTCTATTTTTAATTTGTTCAAGACCAAAAAAAAAGTAAAAAGTAAAAAAAAAAACAAAAAAAGAAAGAAAAAACTCACAACTACTGCCACCAGCCGCCACCAGACCGCCGAGACACCGGCCAGCGAGACTTCCACCACGTCGGCGACGACCAGCGACCCACCCACCGCACCATCACCACCACCCCACCACCACCAACAAGTCCTTTTTACAAAACTTTTGTTTGTCAATTCAAAAACATTAATCGAGCATCGATTCTTGATTAATATGCGTGGATGATAATTAATCTATGCTTACTTCTTGTTGGGTTGCAGTGCTTTAGCCGATTTTGAAAAAAAAATTGACTGAAATTAATTTTTTTTTTGTCTGTTTTCGTTGGTTTCCCAAATCGGTTTATCCAGACCGGTTTTGTACACGAAAATCGGCGTCACAATGCCGATTTTTGTTAACCAAATCGGCGAAACAATGTCGACTTTACAAGTCAAAATTGGCGTTGTAACGCCGATTTTTTATTTTTTTTATTTTTTATGATTTATGTTTTTTATTTGGTTTTGAATTTCATTAAGGGTAAATTAGTATTTTTATATTGGAGGATTTGACCTAATAAAAAAATGGGCTTGCATATATCCGCCACCTTTTGTTTTTTCTTAAAAAAAATATTTTAATTAAAATTACTGTCTTGGCTGCTAAATTACTGTCTCCGGCAGTTATTTAACTGTCTGAGACAGTAATTTAACTGTGAATTGACTTTTTTTTTTCTTCAAAAATATTTTAATAAATATTACTGTCTTTGCTGCTAAATTACTGTCTCCAGCAGTTATTTAACTATTGGAGACAGTAATTTAACTGTTAATTGATTTTTTTTTAAATATTTTAATTAATATTACTGTATTCGTTGCTAAATTACTGTCTGCAGCAGTTATTTAACTGTCGGAGACAGTAATTTAACTGTTAATTGCTTTTTTATTCTTAAAAAAATATTTTTAATTAATATTACTGTATTCGTTGCAAAATTACTGTCTTCAACAGTTATTTAACTGTCGGAGACAGTAATTTAACTGTTAATTGACTTTTTTTTTTTAACTTTTTTTTCTTTAAAAAAATTATTTTAATTAATATTACTGCCTTGGCTGCTAAATTATTGTATCCAACAGTAATTTAACTGTCTTAGACAATAATATTAATAATATTACTGTTCGGGAAAATAATATCATAATATTACTGTCCCAAACAGTAATATTACTGTCTGAGACAGTAATTTAGTAGCCAATACAGTAATATTAATTAAAATATTTTTTTCTAAAAAAAAATTCAAAAAAAAAAAAAAAGTCAACGCCGGAATCTGGTCGGTAAAAAAAATTTCAGAAAAAAAATTATTTTCTGAAAAAAAAAATTTGGGTGGTTAATGTGATATATTTGTTTAAATTCGGGGTCAATGTGTAATATTAAGGAAGTTAGAGCATAATGGATGGAATTGATAAGAATTATATTATGGAGGGTATTTTAGACTAAAGACTTGGGGATGGGTTTAATTGAGAGACTATTTTTTTTGTGGACCAAAATGCATTTAAGTCCCATGTGATGGGCCTTTTTGCCATTCGCCCATTATTTTATTAAGATGAAATATCAATATACCTATAAATTAATTTGCTCATACAAGACCAAATAATAAATAATGCCAGCAAAGAAAAACGTATAACCCTTCCCCCCGCGTGAAACCCTTCCCGTTGTACAGCAGCGCTGCCCAAGCTCCTCGTCGGCCGCCGCCAGTCCTATCGCTCGCAATCATGAGCGACCTAAACCCCCCCAACAACGCTTTAAAAATGTGAATTCCTTATTTTGTTCAACCTTAAGAAAAACGGAGAAAAAAAATTAAATTTGAAACTTGTAAAAATCGACACCAAGGTGTTGAAAAACTATGCTAGAAATCAACACTTGTGCGTCGAAAAAAAGACCCAAAAAATTCGATATCAACAATATGTCGAATTTGATAGGTAAAAATCGACACTGAGATGTCGAGTTTATAGCAGAAAAGTCGACATTGTGAAATGTCGAATTTGCAACTACAAAATCGACATCTCTGTGTCCATTTTTACCTATCAAATTCGACATGTACATGTCGACCGCGTCTGTGCGGGATTTGTTTTTGGAAAAACGATATTCTAACTGAAAAATACATAAATGCATACCTTTTCGGGTTCTTCCATCGTAAAATCTTCTATTTTGATGTCTTTTGACTCCATAGTTGCCGTATTTGTAAGATTTGTTGCGTTTTGATGATTTTGAATGTTAGGTTTTGTGGGTTTACGGAGAAGGAAGGAGAAATGTTTTACAGGTTTTGGAAGATGGAGAAGATGAGGGTTGGTCTTGTAGTTTTGTGATACAGTTTTTTGTGGTTTTGAGTTTTTGGTATTGCACATTTGGATTTTCTATTTTTTTTAACAAGCAAGGGTATTATAGTATTTATGTATTGAATTTTTTTAATTTAGTCTTGCACAAGGAAAATTAGTATTGCATACAGCCACGGCGTATATTTTATAATAGGCAAAGAGGAAAAGCCGTAGAATTACCATTTTTTTTCATCTTTACAGTGCTCGTGTATGGAGGAATCAAACAGAAAGGAATATACTAATACCATTTAAAAATAATAAAAAATAAAAACTGAAGACAAACAAAAATCAGTCGATGGGATGTTTATCGGCCTGTCGAGCCGTGTAATGTGCCGATAGCAAAAGCAGAGAAAGGAATGCACTCGCGACAAAGATGGCATCGAACCATCGGTGATAAAAATCGAATTGAATATCACCACCCAATACATCTGTTATGATTATCCTGCACAATAACAGAAACAAAAATCACCATTAATACCACATGCTAAAAAAAAGCAACACGAAAACAAAATTGCGATTCATATAACAACAGCCCTGACAATTATATAGAACACACGCAAAAAACAAAAATAAAATGCAATTTATTGATCAGATTACAGAATTATCAAATTTTATCGAATTTTGTCAAATAAAAAAATTGACACCAAAATATGCGTACACATATAACCCAAAAGTTGAACCGTACCTGTAATCTGTGGCCAAGCTTTTTCTAATTAATAATATGGAAGAAACAAAATACATTCCCATAATTTCAGAGAGGAAAAGAACAACGTTGCTTGAAGATCCGCTCCCAACTCTGGAAACAGCAAAAAAGAACTGTACAATAGCCAAAATGTTAGCTACCCAAGCTGAAATCTCAAATGTTCAATGCTATATAGGATAGAATAGTGTCATTCAGCAATAAATAAATAAAACAAATGCAAGATTACCTTCATCAAATTTGACAAGAATCCCCGTACGGATATGACTATCAGCATCCCGATGAATAGAAGGGAAATGTACTGCATAACATAACACGAAAAACATGTTACTCATGAAGAGTGTCAATGTAGTTAGATATTTTAAATCAACTAGTATAGCATATTTTAATTTGTCATTCAGGTACCGATTATCTCTATTAAGCGCATAGCATTCTCTTCTGTAAGAATTAAGGATATCTAATTATGTAATCTATTTGAGGGACCTTCGATCCTAAAATGCAGCACTAACCTGTGATAATAAAGTAACATTGATGCCTATGTCGAAAAATTGCAGAAATATGCTGATTGTCCTTGTTACCGGATCAGCAGAACCAGCCTGAGACAAAAAAATGATCCAATAAAATACTCTAAACTTTGCAAAAGCACTAATTAAGATGGAGATATGGAGATAAACGAGGAACTTAATTTAACATTACCTCTTTAAATACGACACTTTGCAAAGACTGCACAAATAAACTTCAACAATCAGTAAATCCAGAATAGAAATGTCTTAATAGATCTCGAACATCAAGAACTTACAGACAACCAAAATTGTAACAAGGGATGTCAATCATATTAGATGAGTGAAGATTACCTTGATCATTTTATAAACACAATATATCGAACATGCATAGCCCAAAAGATTCTGCAAGTGACCCTTCCAGGTTCGAGAATAAGCAGCAGCTTCCTGAAATTATTGCAATAAAATAACATTGGCAAGAAGAAAAAGAATATGATTCCACAAGCAAGTAATTGCACAAGTGAAAACTGTAATCTTATTTGTATTGAATACTGAACTTGCAAAATATACGATAAGACCACAAAAATAGGTATACCTTAGCTTGGCGAAGCTCGTATATTTCCAAAAAGAGTTGCTTCGAGAGCTCCTCCAAAGAGTGTACCTCTGCTTCCATGGTTTTGATATCTTTACAAAGCATTGAGTCAACAACAATAGAGAAGCAGTACAAAAACCTAAACAATAAGCATACTGAAACCCTGTTCCACCTCCAACCTCAAAGAACAAGCTTAGGCAATTTGCTTCAGAATCCCAGAATTTGCATTAATTACTAAAATCTGATTTAATACTGAATGGACCATTGGATAAAGACTCATTGGCAGACCATGAAAATTTGAAATATATATAACTGCTACTAAGTGAAAAGGTTGATAGTATAGTAATTTCTTTTCGAGATGTGAACACAGAATTGGAACGACTTAATAAATGATATTCGAGTCAAAAAAAAAAACAGAGAGAGAGAAGTGGAAGGTAAGAAGTCAATAGTTTTCTAATTGCTCAAAATTTTATCAGTGAAGAAAACTGGGACCCTCCATTTGAAGTTTGACATATTGATCAATAATATTTCTCTTTCTTTTACCCCTGAATTATTAACGTTGATATTTCTTTACCGAACAACAGAAAATATGTTGTCCAATTATTATAATTGAGGAAGATGATAGTCAAAAAAGTTGCTATTAGGTACAAGAAGAGGCTGAAAATGATATATAGAAGAGAGGATGTGGATGAGGAAGGATCCACGCCCTGAACGAGAATTACTACATGACATAACAAAACAGCACTGGTGAATATAGAGTTGAAAAGGCCAGGCTATTCCAACTATCATGAAAAGCAATTGAAGTATATCTGAAAAAGTGAAAATTGCTCAAATAGCAACCAAGAAGGAGATAAAATATGACCCTACTAAAAGAAGAGTAGACCAATGCAGTTTCCAAAATACATATTCTATCAAGACTAACCTTGCTCACTTTGGTCATCCTGAACAGATCGAACAACGGTACCCACTATGCGCTTTAGGAAGGACCTATTGTTTAGTTTCTGTCACATTAAAATGTAGCAGCAATTAAACACCACGGCCGTCAAATAGATCTCAAATCATATAGCACAATAGCATTTTGCTGTTCTCAGTTTTTGCCACTTAACCACGTCTGACCAGCAACTTATCGATTACCAAATTAATCACAGAACCGTGAGAGGACTTATATAACACATTCTCTAATTAGCATCAACCACTAATACAAATACCGAAGAATCTGCTCAAAATAACAGAAATGGTTGCCTACTCCATTCTATGACCCATCACAGTGAATGCCTTCAGTTTCTCAATTAATTTCCTCATTAGCAATAATATTTTTCCATAGAAACCAGCTTAAGGTTATATAGTGCACAACTTTAGCCACGTTTCTCTTTTACTTTTTCATAAATCTTTGGACTTGTTTAAATACATGAAAATTATTTCCTATGTGCAGATTTAGTTAAGTGAAACTTTCAAGTATCAAGCTAAATACATCAGAATTATGTAATGTATGCAGATGTTCAAAAAGGCAGAGTTGACCGAGCAGCCGATCATTCAGCAATTCAAGTTTTAGGATTTCGTTAATTGTATATAAGTTAAGTTTTGGTATATGACATGTTTCCATCACACATTACACATCAAATTTTAATATTTTATGAGGTTAAATTGCTTGGGATAATAAGTCAAGGAATTTAATAAATGAAATAACAATATATTCAATACACAGCAAAGTGAGCAAACCTCTTCCGACCCTTGTTTTCGCTCTATCTGCATTTGACCGAGAATTATCCTCTTTTTCTTTGAAATGCAAGTCTCAATTGACTGCATAAGCTGCCTCTCGAGTCCCTTGATTTCTATTTCATCAATTTCCCTTCAATTGGAAAAAAGAAAATTAATTTATATCAGGAAACTGCTGAGTTGAAAGTCAAAGAATGATCATGATGATTTTCACTTCTAAAGTAAGTGTGTAATAAAGAACTAGGCATCAACAGCCTAGTACATAAAACTTCAACTACACTATCAGCAAATCAGAAACCCTATAAATAGTAATAAATTAGGAGAGTGAATTTCCTTTTCAGTCAATTGAATGTAACCATTTTATCCAACGTCCCTGGAATTTGAGGATGCGCATAAAGCTCCATATATCACAATCTATGAATAAATCAGAACAGCAAGAGCGGCTAAAACCATCATAATGCATAGGGTGTGTGGCTGCTAAAATTAAAACCTTTAGCACTTGATTATAATTAAATAAAAATGTACTAGTTTCAGGAACAAAAAAGTTGATTTGGAAAAAAAGAACATGATGCAAAAGGACACTTAGTTTTCTAGTCATTCACAGTAATTCAAAGCCGTAAAGCCAACATAATTCTTACCGAATAAAGAGAGATAGATAGCTGTATGGCAAATTCACTGCTCCAAAACCAGACAGAACAGCCATAACAGTCACACCAATGACCCCGATTCTGCTCACCAACTGAGGGATGGTGAAAAATCCTGAGAAACAAAATGATGAGTATAAAGGAAGAAAAATATGAAAAATAGTTGATACTTTCAGAAGAAACCACATAAAACTTAAGAATAAAAAAAAGTTTTGATAAAGCCATTTCATGCTTTTAGATCATGTGAGAATCTAAAAAGAGAACAATGCATGCGGTAATATATTCGAAAAGGTGATTAGAAACATGAACAACTAAACGCTAACCTTTATCTGGAGAGGGCATTGGAAAATGAATACCCATTCGCCAAAAACCATACAGAAATGCTAACAAGAACAAAATAGCACCAAGTGAAGCACGTTCCTTTCTAATACCTGAAACGTGAATTTTTAAACATAATGATGCAGTTGGTAGAATTCTGGTCTTCACCATTTAAAGCATCAACTAGTTAACAATAAGGTGAAACTCATATGCTAAAATTTTAATGCTGAAAGTAAAAGAAAAACCATACATTTGTTAAATGTAAGAAAAAGCATCAACGTAAAAATAAAAGTTCTTAAATATAAAGCTGGAGATGTCAAACTTACCGCTGTTAGAAAGCATTAGATAGCAATGATAGTACGGCAACATGAAAACGAGCAACATAATCAGACAAAACAAATCCACCTTCCAATTCATCCATCTCGCCCTACAAAAACAATAGCAACCGAGACAATCGAAAAATCAAACACAAGCTGTAAAACGGCGCACTAAGCTTCTTACACAGTATGCATAAATTAACTTCAATGCGTTCGGTAAATTACTGTTGGATCTAAGTACAAGCCACTAACTAAACGAACGCAATCCAAACACGAATTCTCAGATACTACATAAATTAAGAGTTCCTCACACATAGTAAACAGTTCAATGATGAAAAAAATGCTTACTCTTTGGAAAGAATCGGAATGATCTCGAAAAGGACAAGCTGAAACAGATTGCAAGAGAAGGCAAATACAACACTGAATATGATCTGTACCAACACCCGCTTCTCCTCGTACTCCTTGTAGAGCCGCCGGTTCAGAAACCAAAGTCCGCCCCAACCTAGCAGTATCAGCGATCCCACCGCCACCACCCCCTCGTACGCCGCCCTTCCCCAACCCATCCAGATATGCTCTCTCCGCCGCTCCGGCTCTCAGATTTCACCTCGGATTCCCGCTCCACCGCTTGGGATCTGCGGTTGTCATCAATTGTTGATGAGAATCTCTTGAAATAAATCAATCGAATTTGATTGGCAGAAACCCTAATTAGTGAAAGGGGGGGAAAATTGAAGATTTCTGTGTTTGTGGATCGAATCAATTGAATTTCACAACCTTTTGGTGGGGTGCTGTTTGCAGATTATGATTCCAACTTCCATTTGAAATTGCAAACTGTAAACTGTGTGAAGTGTTTTATTTCCTACCATTTTCTATGCGTTCGTTGTAAGTAATTGAAAAAGGAGTATTCTTAAACTAATTTTATTTTAAATAACAAATAAAATTGTTTTGGAGAGAACAATTTTTGATATTATGATAGATAATAGAAATGATAAATTTAAGATAAAGAGAAATCTAATCACATTGAAATTTATATGTAGAAATAGGGGTGCAAGTTGGAACGGAAATTGCAATTTCCGCCGATTTTGATTCGAAAAGTTCCGAAGTTGGAACATTTTTTTTTTCATTCCGACTTCCGATTTCCGATTTTTTGGATTGGAATTGGAATTATATAAAAATGTTTGGAATTTCCGGTTTTCCGATTTGATTTAATTTCCAAACTTAATTTCGAAAAAATCCAATTTTTCTCAAAAAATACACCTATAAATAATATATATTCTATAATACTTATTTCAAGTTTTCTTTTTCTGAAATAGTAATTTGATTTAAGTTTTGTTTAAGGATTGTGAGATATTGAATTGTTGTTAGAAGTTTTTTTTTTTTTTTTTGAAGAAAAACGATGAGCATATATTAGGCATAACCCGCCAAGTTGGGAGGTACAGATGAACCCTCCAGACAAGCTAAGTTTGAATCCCTAGCAAGGAAGTGAGCAAGTTGATTACAATGCCGTTTAACAAAAGAAAACGAGCAACTATTAAAAGTTTTGGCAATAATTTTAATTTCCTCTATAAAAGCACCATAGGACGTGAGAGAATGATCTTCGTCTTGAAGGGCTCCGATAATATTCAAGCAATCCCCTTCCATAATAACGGCTGGCCAACCTCGACAAAATGCTTTAAGGATCGCTTTAAGGGCGGCGTGAGCTTCCCCTTCGACTGGACGAATAATACCCGGTATCCTTTCTACGCTCCACCATATCGTCTGCCCCAGTGAATTCCTAGCCACCATAGCCGTCAAATAGAAATTGCTGCCCGGCGGGATTGCCACATCATAATTAACCTTAACGACCCCATGAGGAGGAGGCTGCCAGGCAATGGGATTAGACCGTTCCTTCAAGGGAAGGGTAGGAGATCGCGCCTCGTTAAACATGACCAAATAGCTTTTGAACCAAGGCACTAACTCATCAACTCTGAATCCGGATTCTCCATGGATGATATTATTCCGCAGATCCCATAGCTTCCAGCACACCACCACCGCTAGGACCGGCAATTGAGCCGGGCCTGCCCGAAGCCCGATGGCTCGGCCCGATTTTATTTGAGCCGAGCTCGATAAATTGTGAGCCGGGCCGAGTTTGAGCCTTTTTATTAAACCCGATTAAACTATGAGCCGAATTTGAGCTTAACATGGCTCAACCCGAATAAAGCCCGACTAAGTATATATATATATATATATATATATATATATATATATATATATATATATATATATATATATATATATATATATATATATATATATATATATATATATATATATATATATATATATATATATATATATATATATATATATATATATATATATATATATATATATATATATATATATATATATATATATATATATATATATACACACACACACACATGAATGGATGTGAACAAGTTAACAACTAGTAGTAATTAATTCATATATTTTATCACATCTAATCTCGAGAATCTGAAAAGTTTTTTAATGTAAAAAATATTATTTTTTTCTTCATTCATATAAATATAAAACCTAGTATATGCAAAACCTAACGTTAACGTACATTATGTTGCAAAATTTAAGTTGAGGGTTTCTCTTGTCATCAATGGAGGTAATCTTAATGTATCACTGTTTTTTACTTTCAATGATTATTCTAGATATAAGTTTTATCTTAATTTATCATTGTTTTCGACTTGCAATGAGTATTTTAAATTTATCATAGTATAAGTTTTTTTTTTTTAACATGTTCAGTTACAAAGTTGTAAAATATGTAATTTATATATTGCTCGATAAAAGCCCGATATAAACCCGAAGCCCGAAAAAATAAGTGAGCCAAGTTTGAGCCTATAGGCATGAGGCCCGATGGTATTTGAGCTTGAGCCTATAAAACCGAGGCCCGATGGTATATGAGCTTGAGCCGACCCAAGCTCGGCTCATATGGCCCGATTGCCAGCCCTAACCACCGCAAGTAAAAAATTGTCATTGCTCAAACTCATTTTGAGAAATTGTAGCCATGTCCAGAAGGATGGAAATTCTCCATTCAGCTTCAAATAAAAAGGGGAACCAAGCCATAGCTGCAATATACTTCGGCAACCAAGGACCACATGCATGATCGTTTCCGGTTGATCATTACATAAAATGCAAAATGGAGAGTTTGAGATGTGACGTCGGAACAACTCTGCATAAGTAGGAAGAATGTCCGAGATCGATCGTCATACAAAGTGCTTGATCTTGGGAGGGATTTTCAAGTTCCAAACCATTCTCCACATCTTTTTGCGCTCGTCACAACTCGAAGACGAACCAGTAGAGGTAAGGCTAGCGTGAATGGCATGATAACATGATTTTACAGTAAACTTACCCGTGTTGGAGAGCTGCCATATGATTCGGCCTTTCACGTTGCAACTGCCGATGGGGACCGCCAAAATACGGGCTTGGTCAATAGGCCAGAAGGTGTCTTTAATCAGATTCATATTCCATGTGCGTGTCCCCGTCTTGATCAAGTCGGAAACCGTATTAGGAAAAGAGGTATGAATCGGCTGTTTCGTAAAGATCTGTGCATTCCCATTATCCATTAACCAATGATCGCCCCAAATAGACGTTGTAGTGCCATCTCCAATCCTCATACGACTCCATGTTCTAACAAATGGGCGAGCAGCAACCAAGCTTCTCCAAGTAGCCGAAGGCCGAGGACCGAGTTCTGGCGTCCAGATGTCGCCGGTTGGGAAATAGCGGGCCCTAAGAATTCTTGCTAACAAAAGATCCGGATTTGTGAGGATTCGCCTTACTTGTTTTGCAAGCATTGCGAGATTAAAACTTCTAAGATCACGGAATCCCATCCCACCATCCTCCTTTGATTTACAAAGTTTATGCCAACTCAGCCATGCCAATGATTTCGATCTTTGACCACCCCACCAGAATTTACGTATGGCCGACTCAATCTGTATAATCAATCCCGTCGGGATGGAGAAGCAACTCATGATATACGGCGGGATTGCCTGAAGAACCGCTTTTATTAAAACCTCCTTTCCGGCCTTTGATAGTAATTTCTCTCCCCAACCATCAATGCGAGCCCAAACTCTCTCCCGCAGAAATCGAAAGATATCTTTCCGAGTTTTACCTATAGACGTTGGCATTCCAAGATACTTGTCGTGCCTCTCAACTACTTGAAAACCGAGAATCGCATGGATCGATTCATTAATGTCTGCAGTCGTCATCGGGCAGAACACAAGTGTCGACTTCTCCACATTAATCACCTGTCCCGAAGCAGCAGCATAATCGCTTAAAATACGCCGAAGAGTGATAGCATTTGTGTCGGTAGCTTGACAAAACACCAACGTATCGTCCGCAAAGCAAAGAGATGCCACCATCGGAGCCGTTGGAGCTATTCGAATCCCCTCAAGTTCCCCACTAGTCGCAGCATGATGAACCATTGCCACAAGTGCCTCCGTACAGCATATGAATAAATACGGTGAAAGGGGGTCTCCCTGTCGAAGTCCTCGGGAAGGACAAACCGACCCGAACTGCGTACCATTAAAAAGGAACGAATAAGAAACAGAAGATACACAAATCATAATCAACTCAATAAAATCTCTCGGAAAACCAAGGCGAGCAAGAATCTTTCGAAGAAAAGACCATTCAATTCGATCATAAGCTTTACTAATGTCTAATTTAGTAGCCATATAGTTTGTTCGCTTCCTAGAATTAGAGTTGATAAAATGATTTATTTCATAGGCCACAAGAACGTTATCAGTTATTAGACGTTTCGGCACAAAAGCGGATTGGGTAGGCGAGATAATATCTTGAAGCAAGGGTTTCATCCGATTAGCTATAATAGCTTTTGAACCAAATTTATATAAGACATTACATAAGCTAATCGGACGATATTCGGTGATTTTCTCGGGGTTTTTCACTTTAGGGATAAGGACAATAAAGGTGTAATTAAGTTTACTCGGAAGTTTATGATTATTCAGAAAACCTAAAACACAATTAATAACCGATCCACCAAGAATATCCCAATATTTGGTATAAAATAAAACCGGAAAACCGTCGGGCCCGGGGGATTTAGATGGGGACATTTGAGATATAGCACGGGTTACCTCGTCCGCTGTGAAAGGGAGGGAAAGAAATTGCCTTGCTGCGTTTGACACCCTCGACCCGACATGCTCCAACACTTTCTCAATCACACTCTCCTCTGGATAATTAGTCTGAAAAATAGAGGCAAAATAAGTACTAATCACTTGCTCAATATCAGCTTTTGCGTCCTTCCAAATGCCCATATCATCTCTAATTTTATGAACCCAATTGGTTTTCCGCCTCACCGACGCTTTAGCATGAAAAAAACCAGTATTGCGATCACCTTCGCGAATCCATTGAACCCTACTTCTCTGACGCCAATATGCGTCTAAATCATTGTACAAATGTTCCAATTCACTCTTGAGAGAGTTGATTTCAATAGCATCAGCCGTGGCAAGGCCGCCCATGTAAAGTTGGTTAAGCCGTTTTTGGATTTGCGCAATTCTCTTCTTTGGATTATGGGCAGTGACTCGACTCCAACTCATAAGACTTACCCGGCAGCCCTCAGTTTTGTTTATAACATCAACAATAGGATCCGAATCTTTAGTTTCCGCCCACTGGTTATACACAATTTCCTCACATTCTTCCCGCCGCAACCACATAGCCTCGAAGCGAAATGGACGTCTTCCCTTCCCATTATTACGTAATTCAGTATTCTTCAAGTGGAGTATGATGGGGACGTGGTCCGAGCCCGCAAATTCAAGATGTTGGACTTGGGCTTGGGGGAATAATTCTCCCCATTGCCCGGACCGACAGACCCGATCTAGGCGACAACGTACGTTATAAGGAGGTTGCTGTCGGTTAGACCACGTAAAAGGAGAGCCGGAGAATCCCAAGTCTGACAATTGACAATCAGCCAAAGCCTCATGAAAGGCTGCCATGGCTGACGGAGAGCGCGCCCCCCCTCCACCTTTCTCCGTAGGGTATAGGATCTCATTGAAATCACCTCCAATGACCCATGGAAAGGTACTACGATCTCTAAGGTTCCGTAGTAATTCCCATGTCAGATATTTCCTTTGCCTATCCGGAAAGCCATAAATACCCGTAAGACGCCATTTGGTCTGATTTTCTGATTCCGTAACAACCGCGTCCACATGATTATTCGAGAAACTAAGAATATCAACAAGAACATCTTTCCGCCATAAAAGCGCCAAACCACCGGATTTACCTACTTTGTCCACTGATATCCCAAACAAGTTCCACTTCTTTTTATGCTTTTCCACAAGTTGCGACGTAGCTCGCGTTTCCGAGAGGATTACCGCCATGGGGTGGTATAAACGGAGAATATCTCCGAGTGTGTGAATTGTCAAGGGCACCCCCAACCCTTGACAATTCCAGAATAGATAACTCATTGGGATCGGCAGGACTGCATAGCAGTCGCCGCCGTTGAGCTAATAACCTCGTCTCGCAAAACAAGTTGTTGTCTTTTGTTGCCTTTATTACCTTCCATATCTGCTGGAATCACCGCCTTCTTTTTACGATTCGTACTCACTGTAATTTTTCTCCTATTAAGCTCCATTAAACTAGTGTCTGGCAGTCTGGGTCAATATGAATCGGATTGGTTATAAGCACTGATTCTCCCACTATCAACATAGCATTATTTTCTTTACCTACGCACTCATTACAGGCCGTATTTTCTCCTCCCGGTCGAGAAAAGAATTCGAACTTATCAGATCCCCTCTTGGTTATGGGCGGAGACTGGCTCTTGGTGGAAGAAGTAGCCAATGAGATGTCGCTGAGAGGAATTCGAGAGGTAGTAAGGTCTCTGTCAAAACTGGCCTTCATCCAAACACCATATGGAAAATCGTCACCGGGATCCGCAAACTGGTCATCATATCGGAGTGGGCATTTAGGTTCTGTGTGGCCGACGATACCGCATAAGAAACAGAATGTCGGCAGTTTCTCATATGTAAAGTCCAGCCAAGTCTTAGCATCATCGGCTTTGTGAATAAAAAAGCCACGTTGGAGGCATTTCGTAACATCAACTGCCACTTTTATCCGTAAGAAGCTAGCAACGTCAGCTTGGTGGCTGTTCAGAAATTGGGTGAAAGATCCCAAACGATTGCCGATTCGGGTAGCAACCTCCATCGTTCTGTACGATATCGGAACATTATGAGCCCTAACAACAATGTTCATCATCTTGATTTCCACCCCTTCTGGGGATTCACCCTCGAGAAGTTTATGGAAAAGCAATGCATTTCTGTCCAACACCCATGGGCAACCCTCCATAGCATGTTTACAGTCCAGAGGATGGTGGAATTTGATCATAAATCTGTTTGATGAGATCGGAAGTATCTCACATTTTTTAACCGGTTGAAGAAGGCGCATCACGTTAGATTTGATGGTGTGAAAAGAAATCTCTCTCTCCGAAACAACTCTCCCCACCAGATTGTGAGTCATAGACGAAGCCCTAGGTAGAGGGTTGGACGTATCTAGAGCTATCCCTTCTTCTTCTTCCGTTCCTCTTTGCCATCGAATCTACGAGCCCGTCCATCCGTGTGAGAGTGTGTGAGAAAGTGAGGAACCGACAGATCAACGGATCGAAGTGAGGGGACAGAAGAAGAGAAAGGAAGATTAGGGTAACGATATGGGTAATAAAATAAAAAGTGTAGTGGCCGAAATAATAAATAAAATAGAAAACCCTAAGAAGCAAACACCCTAATAGCATAAAATTAGAAAAAGTAAAGCATGCGATCAAGGATCTGTAATCTCTCAATCGAAAGAAACCGCCGCCAATCAGATCTCTCAAGTCCGTCAACAAATTGGAGCATATCAAAGCCTCTCATGACGAGAGAATATGCCTCTCATGACGAGAGAATTTTTTCCGACCTAGTTGGACCAGTGAATTGTTGTTAGAAGTTTTATTGTGTATTAAGATGTGATTTATTTTTATTTTTTTTTTTTGAACTGGAATTTAGTAGTTATTAGTTTTACAATCGACGTTGATGTTCTTATTTTTGTAAAATCACGAAATTTTCAGAAAATTTTCTTAAGTTTTGAAATTTTAAAACTTATGTGTCGAAAGTCCGAAATTTCCACATCTTTTTTAATTGGAATGAGTCTTTAGATTCTGAAATTAGAATTGGAATTAAAATTAATTTTGTACTTCCAATTTTTTTTTAAAGTATTCCAAAAAGACTAATTCCAATCCAATCAATCTTACTTTCACCCATACCTATAAAGAATATAATCCCTTCATAATGCTATGACCAATCAATTTAAATGTATATTTCCAGGTACCTTGGATCTGACTTCTGAGCAATGAATTTTTGTGGAAGTCTGGACAAATTGAATCGAAACTAGTACTTTTAGAGAAATTACAAAAAAAAATTCAAAAATTCAAAATTAATTTCAATCAATCCTTGAATCAAAGATCTCTCTTGATCCTTTGTTCCATCCTCGCGCGCTTTGGTTTCACTCGAGCGTGCAATAATGTGAACATAAGTATGGTAGTCCTTCGTGACCACCCCTAGTTTATGCACGTATAGCTCTCTTCTCGTTCCCTTTAGAAGTCTTTCGTATTCTTCGCGGTTTAAGCCGATAGTCACTCCCATGTTGTCCGTCATGACCTTTGGAATGCTTTTTGTGAGATGGCAGAATAATTGGAGGTCCATTGGATCTTGGGCGGTGAATTCAACTGAGTCTGAGAGGTCGGGCGGCAAATGATCGTAGCCGTGACATGATGCACTTCAGGGATATGTTGGTCGACCGTGACTTGTCGGATGCTGGGTTTGTTTTTTGAATTTGTTTTTTTGAAAAAAGAATTCCCGCTTTTGATAGGCGGTCAATGTCGGTCGCCAGCGTTGATTTTTTTTTTTTTTTTTAACGGTCAACACAATAATATTAATGTAGTTGACAGTAATATTACTATCTATAATCTAATACATGTTGCCTCAACTTTTGTTACACCAAGACCTCCACACTTCACCAGGTTGCATCAACTTTTGTTAAAAGGAATCTAGCTTGGGAACAATTGAATTTTTTGTTGTTTTGCATTTTGCCCCAACTTTTAGTATAACATTTTGATCAATGATTTACGGATCGAATACTCTAAAAACAGTAGGAATCCGTGTCAAAGCCGGTCTGGTGCATTTTAGGGGCCAGAGCAAAATATGAATTGTATCCTTAATAATATATCCAGATTTATTTTAGCATATTATGTTTAGTGGCATAATATAAATAAAAAAAAAACTTCATAAATGAAATATTGAAAATACTAATGCATACATTATGTTTACCTAATATATTATCTTTAATAATATTGAAAATACTAATTTATTTTGACATAATAATCGTAATATCTTTACCTTGATGAAGAAAAAAAAAAAAAAAACATACATTATTAAAGATTCTCCAAGCATTAAATTCCAAAAAACAATACAACATAAAGAAACAATTTTGACCATTAGTACAGGAAAAACACAATATATATATATATATATATATATATATATATATATATATATATATATATATATATATATATATATATATATATAGATATGTTGGTATAATTATATAACAATCTGCGTAAACGAAAAATACTTATTGTTTGTCGAAAAGAGGAATTGTGAAAACCACAAAGAACGATCGAGGCTTGCCAAAGCAATTCCCTTAAGACAATATTTCCGGGCTGTCAACGGTGCACAGTCTCTTCCCGGTAGTCTCCCAAGGTACAACGATCGGTTGTCGAATATTTGCACGAAAATTCGACCCACAGCGAACTTGAGCAACGAACGGAACTTTGACGAAGAGAAAGAAAAATATGAAGAACTATCTCTCAATTGCCGATTAAATTCCGTACAGAATTGGCCAGATTCTGCCTTTATTTATAGGTTGTAGAGATCCATTCACAGAGGGATGCAATGGTTGGAAGAAGAAGCAGAGAGATGTGTCATTTCTTTTTATCGAGTTCAAAAAACGTAGGAAAATTAATTGGTCATGGGCCAATTAATTAAATATTTGGTTTGAGCCAAATATTTTATTATTTAAATTTTGGGTCAACTAATTTGACTAATTACTAAATGTCCCCAAAAGTAATATTTGTGGACACCTAAACCCAAACTAGTCCTATCACTCGATCACATCGAGCGCACATCTTTTGAACTTTAACCATTTAATCAAGACAATTTTCATTCACTTTACTTCATGATTTTGATCAAGTAAATAAATGAAATTAATCTTTACATAATTAAATTAATATTACTCAATATTAATTATTGGAAATCATGAAAATTCCAACAATCCCCCACATGAATAAAATTGTTCTTCCAATCTTATAGCATAAGATCTATTTGTCAAAATTCCTTAGTGAATAGTACAACATCGGGATAGGTGAAATATTTCATCTTGAACCTTCCCTAGTTAAAGCTTATCGGATTTACTTAGCCAATCGGTGAATTATTTCATCTTGAACCGTCGGCTGTTTGTGTAAACCAAGACAATAAACTTAACACCATACTAAACGAATTTGTTCAAGTTCTCGGTTGTGTTCGTTTTGGCCCTGAACATCCTCGGGTTCTGCGAGTGCTTTAGAGAATTCCAGCCTTTAAGAGTTCTCAACGAGCCGACCCAGCTCACACTAACATAGGTGACCGCATCTATAAAGAGTATCCTACTATACCCCACTTGTAAATTACAAGATATAGATGTCATTAAAAGCAATAGCTTAACCTTTTTGAACGTCGTAGGTTGCACTTATTGCATCATAGGAATAAGGTGGAGTTAAAACTCCTGAGTGCTTCATTTTAAGTTACACAGAACTGGTTGTCCTATTGAACTTGGTCCGTGGGATCTCCAGTCGCCAAGTTAGGTTTCCGTATAAGGTAACTTAGTTATTTAGGCTTTAAACTTATTACCCTCAATGCACATTTAACTCTTTCGCTAGATAAACCTTTATTAAATGGATCCGCTAGGTTATCTTAGGACTTCTCAAAATCAATGGAAATTTATTCCATTAGAGAGTAAATGTATCACGTTATATGTCTACAACGAATATGTCGAGACTTACTATAGTAAAGTATGAGAGCAATTTGTTAATTGATTATTCTTAAATCAAATATCTAATTATATTGCTTCGCTATATCCCCAAGGACATATACAAACATATTTAACTTGTAGTCAAATACCCCCACATTTTGAGATATTTATGGCTCAATCATATATATTTCCATAACTCATAAGGAATGTTCATCTTGTGTGAAACTCTATTTAATATGTCATTAGACATACAAGGAGTTTCCCCCACAAGTTGTTCGGTGAACTCAAGTTTAATCGTGTCTTTAAAACATGATTTTCCATTTGACTACCCCATTCGATGTGAATAGGGTGCAATGATTTTTCCATGCACACAAATAAGTTACTCATATTATCCGCTCTATCGGATTTAAGAAGTTATCTTCTTATTTTGTATTTCACAAATACGCATTTGCTACCTTTTTATTAAACTCAAAATTTTAAGAACTTTAATTTTTATTGAGAAAATAATCACAATATGATTGGACATAATCATATTGCACAGTTTAAATCAAGAACTAACTTACAAAAGTTTTGAAAACAGAGAAATCAAGCACCCCTCGTAAGTGCTTATTTGAAGTATAAATAAATATTAATTATGCCCAAATTCAACCAAGTCATTGGATTGAAACAATATTGTTTCAAAAGAAAGAATAAAATATTTATATGATTTAATAATATTAAATTCCATACAGACTTATAAAACATAGGGTAATTTTTTAAAAAATATACTAGAAAAAAACTTGTATAATAAAACCTTGTTTTACACACGACATTTTCCAACACAATAAGTTCTTACAACTCTTATCACAAAATGCAAATAAACCATATAAACTAAAAATTATTAATATAAATGTAGTAGCTTAGTTCTTGCCGATAACGGCTACGTTCGCCTTAAAGAGACCGTCACATAGGTACCCTTTTCCGACGTAGAACCCTCCTTTGGTTAGCACAAATTTTCTCGACTCAAAAGTCAACTTGAAACCTTTCTTGGTTAGGATAGAACCACTGATTAAGTTCTTCCTAATATCCGGAACGTGTAGCACATCGTTTAAGTTAACTTCCTTTCCGGAAGTGAATTTTAGGATCACTTGTCCTTGTCCTTCAACCACCGAATAAGCATCATTTCCCATGAAGAGCTTTTGTTCTTGTTCCAACTTTTTATAGGAGGAGAACATGCTCTTGTCATAGAAAATGTGCCCCGGTGTCTACCCACCATCCTCGAGTATCGCTCAATAGGTAGGCCTCTGTTACAACTGCCGAAAGGTGCATGTTGTCGTTCTTGGAAGTAGCTAAGTCCACGGTGACATTTGCTTCATTTTTATTATTTTCTTTGCGGTGGCGACAATCCTTCGCAAGGTGTCCATTCTTTCCACAAACAAAGC